TCATTCAAGATATTCTGAAACTCTTACCAAGAATGTAACTACATATATTTGACAATTTCAAACTGCTGAATTGTGACAATATACAACACTGGACTAATTTTGTAGGGGTGGGGTGGTGGCCGTAAGTATTATTCATTAACTACAGTTTGAGCAATAAATTAACACAAGTGGGTAAATAAGATGCAAAAATACTAATTCTAATATTTATAAGCATAAAGTAATGACAATGATTTGTTTTGTTAAATTGCTAAGCAAGTACTTATGAAAAAACAAGCTCCAAGAACATAGTCAAACATTTGCAAACTAATAGGTTTATATGAAATGATTAAAATTGTCATAGTGACATAGTTACAAACATGTATTTTTCAATGATACATCCTGTTTTTGATTAATTTCATTTTTCTCTTAGTCGGGGGAGGTAATTGTTGCACTCATTTCATTTTTATTCTCTGTAATTTTTTGCTGATCTGCCTGGATTTAAATCGAATTTTATCACTTTGATTACTGAATGACCCTTTTTGCAGAATGATGGTGATGAAGTCAAACACACGTATAAAAGGATTGTAATTCAAGCATTTCTAAGGTAATATCAGAGTTTTACTGTGTTAGCATTATTTTTTAATCATTTAACTTAAATAAGGAATGCTGATAGTTTAATTACTTTTTATTAAGACAAAGTAGAAAGTAATTAAATGACAGATTTGGATGGGATCCCAATATTTGAACCATGAAATACATAAATTCCAGGATTCAGGAAAAGCTTTGAGATTGCAACCCCAATTTCATAATGATGCATCATATCATTCATTTTGTACTAATAGAATATGTTTCAAATACTTTGCTTTTTTCATAGTTTTAGCTCAAACAGTAGTTCTTGAATATATGCTTAGTTTCAACAACAGCTTGCACAACTGTTAATATGAAGTTTCATAACACTAATGGCAAGGGTAGCAAACACATAATACTGTTAAGGTATTCAGTATCTATACATTCACTGGATAGGGTCATCAGTCAAGTTATGGAATGTTCAATGGAGGGTCATTCCATGTCTAATCACCAAGCAAAAAGCCATTTTGACACCTAACATCTCAGAATTGGCCAATTTTTTAACTGATGGTACCTACCTATGAGTTAAGTATACCTGCAAATGCTTTTTTCAAAAACTTATCAACACCAAATTTGGAGCAAATACTCTTCAAACCATGTAGTTTACTATATTAAAAATCTGAGATGGTTTTTTTCCTATTACAAAGTACTAGTCCTCTGAAAATTGACTAAATTATAAAGCGAATATGCCTAAATTCTAGTTCACATGATATATTGGTAATTGCTGTTCAATTTCAAGAGTGCTTAAAACTATATTGAGGTTAATTCTATAATAAAACTGAATATTATTTACATGAGTTACAGAAAACTGATGCAATTCTAAAGTCAGTTTTATATTTATATTTTTGCTTGGTAGCTTAAATTCTTATTCTAACCTTGAAAATGTGCTTTTACAAGGACTATACAATTTTCAGGATTCTTACAGAAAATTGCTATTTGCTGGGCTATACAAGATCTACTGGATTGAAATCTGTTCAGAGT